CTCAATTATGTTTTATTTACTTTAATGCATTAGTGATGAATGTGGATATGTCACAATTACTATTATAATATTGTGATAATAATAAGCATGTAAAAGATAAGTAAAAACTTATTCACCCATTGTTTGGAGACTGATTGACCCATATAGAATGGTGGGCCAACGAGCTTTACTTTAAATACTATAATTTGATATTATCACCTACTAATTCATGTAATACTGATTGAAAGTTATAAGAAGATGATTATTATGTCGAGAGTGACAACTCTATTTATTTTTAGCCAATGGTTTACCCCGCGGTTATTAAACCGCTGCTAATTCTGGCAGTGGTTTATTAAAGACCGCCAGTTAATACCGGTTGTTAAACCGCCGCCGAAACCGTCGGTATTACTGGCAACTACGGGACCACCGGCCGTAGCCGTCGGTAATAGCTGAATTTTATGTAGTGAATATCGTAATAGCCAGAATTCTTACTTATTTACTGTGATTACTAAAATGAATGGTATTGATGTATTGTTCAAATTACTGAATGAATTTATATTAATACTGTTATTGATTTAATTTATTGATACAAAAATATGCTATATATACATTGAGCATATGATTTACTAATTTAATATTGATATAAATAATTGGATAGCATATGAACACTCCTATATAATTTTAATATATTTATTTTATTTTTACAATCTTTTAAAATGATTTGATGTTATCACTTTATATGATTTCTCAATTGATTGTAGTATTAATATGATGATTGCTTTTGTGATTTAACACTTGTACTGATTTATTATCTTATGTATGGTATAATTTTATTATTTCTGCACTGATTCGATTATCATATGAATACAATTGTTATGATTTAATTGTTGACATACATATTGCTCATTTACTTTGTGTTGAATTCAGCTATAGGTTTTGGCGACTTGCTGGGCTTTTTAGCTCATTATATGTGATTAAATTATTTCAGGTCAGGGCAAGAGAGTAGGAGTGTGAGACTAATCAAAATTCCTTTAGGTTCAGGTTCTCTTTATTTTATATATTCTTTTGTACTCATGACAAAATAGTTGTGATATGATTGTATAGATCATGAGTAGTGTATATAAATTTTAGAGAAATAAAAATAGATGTACATATTGATGTTTTGATCTATAGTTTTGCTTCCATTGATATTTATATTGCTAAAAAATTTTAGATAGCTCTGATATTTATTTATTAAAAGAATAATTTTTTAAATTTGATTCTAAGGCTTCACAAATGATATAAATATAGAAAAGTCACTTTATCAATATAAATCTCAAGTCACTATTGATGTGGGCTCATTCTAGCATAGCCTCATTCCTCATTCTAGTTTGTTATTTGTACTACTTATTAATCCACTACTTGGTATCACAAATCTACTAATACATATATCATACATTACATAGAACATACTTACACAGAATATTATATAGAATATACTTTCTATTTTATTCTTTAGTTTACTTATAACTAATAGGGAGGAGAAGGACATATATAGTGTTTGTTACAAAAACTTGAAACCTTACGAATTGAGCAGTGCATTAGCAACCTATCTCTTATTATTTATTCCTTTTTCCTACTCTCTCTGTTTTGTAGGATCGTGTTCATCTTGCGACAACAAGAGATTGGTATCATAGCCTCATTTTGATGGTATAGATGGTAGAGAGTATTCTCTACGAGTGGACACCAAACATCAAATGTTAATCAAAGTTTTCAAGCACTACTGGTGGTCCAATCGAAGATCACAAAGTAGGAGGAATTGAGCTTGCCAACAATCTTAAGCGACTCGCCACGGAGGTGCATTATGATTTAGAGGACCTTAGGATGAGTGAAATGAATATGAGGGTTGATGCATTGATGACCTTACCATTCCGCAGAATGGGATATTAGAGGATGAGAAACAACTGACGAAACACAGCCCCCATACCCGAGTTATCTAAATAAGAAGAATGAGGAGAATCGCATCAGTAGATGGAAGGTTATGTCTCGAATGATGAGGATTTACCCCCATTTGGTGTCAGGCAATATTGTCAAGGGGAATGACCCAGATGACATGTGGATTTCCGTATTAATATGGATATTTCATTTATGGATGGGCGACTGCACATAGAAGATTACCTTGATTTGGAGCGTGCTATAGAAACATTCTTTAAATATATGGATATCACCCTAGAAAAATAGGTTAAGTATGAAACATGTAAACTTAAGGACAGAGCAGGTGTCTTGTGGCATCAAGTTCTTCAGTCACAATGCAGAGAAGACAGGGAAATGTGAGAAGTTAAAGCCAAATGAAGCAACTACTACGATGTTATTTCCTCCCTCATGAGCCATCAGCATTATTCACAAAGAAGTTGAAGTGTAAGTGAATATATAGAAGAATTTTACCAACTTAGCACCCGCAATAATCTCAATGAGTCGAGCAACCAAATGGTGGCGTGGTACAATTAAGGGTTAAGGGATGTGATTCAAGATAAGCTCAAATTAAATTCTATTTGATCCCTTTCCCAAACAGTAAATTTCAATTTGAAAGCAAATATACAGCTCACTCGACACCATTGCAGCAACAATCCTAAACAAAGTTATGGAGATCTCAAACCCCCACAATAGGGAGTGCTAATACAAAAACCTATCGGCAAGTAAGCACTAGCAATCAGCACACTGAATCCAAAAATCCAGTTACAATTAGGGTCGGAAGGGACAATCCCTATGTTAAACCAACTCCATGCAAGTGCTTGAGATGTTCCAAAATGGGCATAAATCTAATGCATGAGTGCCCAAACTACCAGAAACTATAATTATTATTATAAGGGAAAAATGTAGGCCATGATTGGGAAAATGAACTTAATAATGAAGATGAAGTGGAATATTTAGTTGGAGATGAAAGATAACCAATGTTGTGGAAAGATTGCTAATAGCACCTCGACAACCATCTAACTCTCATAGGAATCCAATTTTTAGAACTAAATGGACCATCCAGGGTAAAGTATATATGACCTCTTGATTGACAATGGTTGCACTGAAAACATTATCTACAAGTATGTAGCTAATGCTTTGAAATTGAAAACCACAAAGAACCCAAATCCATATAAGAAAAGTTGGGTGAAATAGGGCAAAAACATTCCCGTGTTTGAAATTAATGTGTCGGTCACCTTTTCAATCGACAAACATTATATGTGTGAAGTTCTGTGCGACGTCCAAGACATGAAATTTTATCATCTAATCCAAGCAAGTCCTTGGCAGTTTGACACTGAAGTCATTTATCAAAGAATGTTTAATTGTTATTATTCATTTGAATGGAAGAACATGAAACTAGGCCTTCTACCTTATCAGAAATCCAGCCCCGCCTATAGCAAGGCCAACAAACCTACCCTCTGTATTATCATGGGTGGCTCTCTATTGTAGTCATTACGAGAGGAAGCATCGGCTCTAGCCATTATAATGACTGAAGGAAATTTTTTTGAGTAAAATGCAATCATATCCAGCTAAGGTACAACAACTATTTTGTGGTTTTGTATATGTTGCACTTGCCGCACTTCCAAGTAGCCTCCCACCTTTCCATTCACTTCAGCACCAAATAGATTTTAGCTCCTATGCTATATTGTCAAACCTTCCCCATTACAGGATGAATCCCAAAGAACATCAAATTTTATAAAATTTTGTGGATGATGTACTTCAGAAGTAGCTCATATAACATAGCTTGAGTATGTGCGCAGTCCTTGCTCTTATGGTTCAAAAAAATGGTTCGTTGTGAATGTGCATAGATAGTCGTCGTGCAATTAATATATCACAAATAAATACCGATTTTTACTGCCAAGATTGGAGGACGAACTAGTTTCATTATGCAACGCACCGACTACCTTCATGCATGTGATGAATGAGCTTTTAAATCCATTGATGGGAAAGTGTTGTGTAGTTTATTTCAATGATATACTAGATTTCAGCTCTTCCTTGAACACTTAAATCATTTAACTGAGATATTTGTGCTACTAAGAAGCCACAAGTTTTATCTAAACATATCCAAATGTGAAATATCAAAAACAAATGTGCATTTCTTGGGCTTTGTCATTTTAGCTAAAGGTATTGACATGGATCCATACAAAGTCTTGACTATTCGAGAGTGACCAACACCCACTCATTGATAGAAATCCATAGCTTCCATGGCCTTGCTAACTTCTACATGCAGTTTATTTGAGGTTTTAGTGTCATTATGACTCCTATAACATATTGCCTGAGGCAATACTTCAGGAAGTTGATCGAAAGATTTCTTTCCAATAATCCTTCAAGTAGTCGATCGAAGAATTCCTTTAGTTTACTTATTACACCTAATAAGGAGGAAAATGGCATACATAACGTCTGTTATAGAAACATGAAACATTATGAATTGAATATCGCATCAGCAAACTATCTCTTGTAATTTGTTCCTTTTTCATGCTCTCTCTCTCTCTCTCTCTCTCTATTTTGTAGGATCTTGTCATCTTACATCCACAACAAATATTTGAATTGAAACTTTAGATATTAAATTCATTACCATTCGAACGTTGATTTTAACAAGCTCATAACCAAACAGAACGTGCTATCAAGATGACCCAATTGACATCACAAATAATACAATCTAATTCCATATTAACCCAAATCAATCTCTTTATGCATATTTGAAAGCTTCTAAATAATAACTGAATGATCAATTTGTCTCTAAATATCACATGTTTATATTCAAAACAAGACAAAACTCCCGAGCCCAAAATAATTAATTTCTAAGATCATTAAAACATTAAAATATTAAAGAAATAATCTATTACCAGAACAATCAATATGAATATTCCAATGGAATATTTTGAAGTTTGAACAATAAAAAGCAATATGTGTAAAGTAATATTAAATTTAATTCCTAAAATTTTATCTCAAGTATGTACTTCAATACTAATATTTTCAATTAAAAAAAAATCCGCATATATTTGACTATACAAACTGTGCTTCCAACGTCATCAAATAGCACCAAACATCTTCCCTCAATTACGCGCTAGTTACTTGTCTTACAAGCTACCTTCAATAAAATTCAAAGGAATTAAACGTGACCAATAAGCTCATTCAGAGCTTACAAAAATCATAGAAGGATAAGGATATGAAACTTGACAACTAGCAAGCTACCTAGCTATATGCATGCATGTATAATAATTAATCAAGACATCATCGACTCATCATGCATGCATGTATATGCTCTTTAAACATAGCCATAATCAAATAATAACCTTTATAATTAACATGTCCTCAATCTTCTACTTACATCATCATCATCCATTAAAAGTATATCTATGGCCCAGGCCATCAATGAAGAACCCCGGCATCACCTGCCCATCATCCATGCCATCTCCCACCATTCCATAGCCCGCATGCATCACATCTTGCTGTTGCTGTTGCTGTTGCTGTGGTGGCCTGAACTGATAGTATTGCCGTTGATGTTGCTGCATGGCCGCTGGTGGTTGTCGGATCGGGTTGTCTGGCTCGAACCCGAACCCGAACCCGTCGGTGCTGTACGGCCCAGTCGGCACACCGGTAAACTGCTGGACCATGGCGCGGAAGTTGGTGGTGTCGGTGTTAAGTAGGGTGGTGGGGGCCCTACGAGAGGCTCTCGAGCGCTTGCGGGGCGGCGCTTTTCCTATGGAGCGGGTGATGCCGCCGGAGGCCGCGGCGGCGGCGACAGGGGCTGTTGTGACGACCGTTGAGTCGGCGGGGATGGATGTTGCGATGAAGGGATGAACGGAGGAGGGGCGGTTGAAGAACTGAGCCCAGTCGGCGGTGGGTTCCGAGGTGGCGTCGGTCATCGCCGTGGTTTTAGAGATGGTGGAGAGAGATGGAAGATGATGTGGGGTTTTGCTTATATAGTGCAGAAGGGCAAGTGGGAAGAGGCTGCGTGCATCGTAAGACGTTGGTCTTGAGTGGATGTACGGTGAAGATTGAGACACGTCGGGAGTGGATGGAATATTGTCCAACGATCTGCTTTAGGAAGCGCGTTTTAATTTTGGTTGCCCGAATCTTGATTGTCATCCGAGGGAGATCAGCATGGATATTTTCGATTAATTGCATAGGATTTTTAGATCGCGTGAGGTTTTTATTTCTTCTCGAAGTGGAAGAGTGGAGAACCAGCGCGGCTTCGACGAAGAATCGTATTGCATTGATGACGTCATTGGAATTGTGCTCGGCTTTTTAGCCGACTAAGGAAGAGATTATTATGTGCGAACATCAAATACAACTTATTGCGTAAGGTGAATAAGGTACAGTCATATCATCCAGTATTGAGTAGTACCGAGCCTTGGTACCAAGTAGGGTGTGACGCAGTGCATTTTCATTGGACTTTGGATGACGTTCGGCGCTCGCACATAGGGGTGTCAATTTCGGGTCACGGGTCGGGTTCACAGCCCTACCCGCACATAATAATTCATCTGACTCTAAGGCCATCTTCAACTGAAAAATTAAAATTTGAATCTAAAATATAGTAATGCAGTAACTTGTCCGAACAAAACTCTATTTTCTAACACACACAAAATAATATTCTGTGTATATATATTCTTTCTCATATTTTATTATATATTTTTTAATCATATATTTATTTAAAAAAAATAGTTGGTGAACAGTGCAACGCCAATCAGCCGTTCCGGAATAGTGATTTTTTTGCTATCAAATTGAGCAAACCATCAATGCCTAACACTCATTTGACGTTTGGCTGGAGACTCCCTAACTGAGTTAATTTGTACATAATGATTAAACCCAAAAATGATCTCGAAATGACCACAAAGTACATAATGATCATAAAAATCATTGAGAGAGCATGGCATCATGGTTGCCCAGAGGGCCGTCCAAAGGATGCATTCGAAAATTTTCTTGGGTAAAACACCAATTCAAGATCGACGAACCCACTTTAAACCAAGTCAGTTTCATGAGTCAGATTGCTCAACATCCATATTATGTAGGTCATTTTCAAAAGGTCATACATAGACTCAAATAGGCTCCTTGATAATAATATGCAAAATTCACTTCTTATGTCATCATTCAAAGTGTTGTTGATTCAAAACTCTTATATTGTAATAAAAAAAGTTGACTCATATTTATTTTAATATTTGTCAACAACATATTTTTAATAGAAATGATTCTTCTATTCTCAATAATTTTGCATAGAAACCTACAACATCAATTGAAATTATATGATATGGGTGGTATCTCGCAAATCTTGGGTATTCATGCCAACTAGACACCTTCTAAACTTTACTTCCATAAAACTCCATACACCAATGAGTTATTGCTTGAATGCTTGTCACAAAACTGAACCAATGTATCATACATATATACTACATCATATTCTATCAGATTGTAATAGCACAGAACTCCCAAAATCTATTTGGATGGAATATTTTATCTTTTCATTATGTCATAATACAGAGCCATTAAAATAACAACAAATAAAATAAAAAGTACAACGCTCAAGATTTTCATTTCATCCATCCTACAAAATCATATAATCCAAAAGTTAATTTACAAATAATGCATGACATAGAAAATGATACATAAAAATAGAAAGCCATTGATACGAAAATTCTAATAAAACATACATATAGAATCTCAGATATTAGAATATGCAACTTCTCTCTACTTAACATACGCCTTCATTTTACCCTGGACTGAAAGTATGCAAAATAATAAGTATGAGCAAACCGTAGCTCAGTTGGCTACACTTGACTTATCTAAGTTTTTAATAATACACAAATAACATTACATGAATAGAAACAATAAAGCAAACTATCCTTACAAAATTTTAAGAAGATTACTTTGGACAAGACCCTTATCGAGAATGTCTTGGAGTAGATAAATATATAGTTTTAGATTCGATTATATATATTTTAAGATCCGGTGTTACCTCGAATTAATTAAAATACACATATTTCACGTACAATAGAAACCAAAAAAGTGAACATGTCGCGTATATTATAAATTTAAACACATCACATTAACTACTCAAAATAGATCACATTCATTCGATCCCCTCGGGCCCTTATACCTTCCAATAAATATAAAATTCATACACTTATGACTCCCTATACTAGCACATTAGTTAACATACCCTTATAATATTTAAAAATTTAGGCTCTTATAACTCCCGTACAAATATCATATTCAAAATTGTAGGCCTTTAGCTTTCAATACATAAAGCATCAAAATTCTCAATCAATCATCAAGACTTCTCTAATTTACACATTTTGAATATATAAACACAAAAATAATCACTAATTTAGATAGTACAAACAATATCAAATCTATCGCAGAATTTCATAGAATGCCTTATTGATAGCGAAATAGAAAGAATTTTGAGGTAAAATTTACACACAAATTTTCCATATTTTTAAATCAAAATCAAATTACCACACATTATTCGCATCTACATTTAAAAGTTTTTATTATACTACAATATTATTTGTCAAAATTAGAATAATTTTCGGTATGCTTAAATTAGTAAAAAAACAAAACAACTCAGCAAAAATTCACAAATAATATTTCAAAATATGCATAATATTATAATCTATATTATATCTAAAATCACATGGATAAAATTAACCATATGTTGGAATATACCCACTTTTTTAAATAAAAAAACCATAAAATTATAAACTATTAAAACCTAAGATAGGATAAATGTAACATATTTTGATTCAGACAATTTACTGAACTGGCCCGACGAAAGAAAACAGCCTGAAGGGGCCTAAAATTGATTTTCTCTCCCTAGGATTTCTCTCTTCCACTCTCTAGTCGGCTGAGTTTTAGAGTGAAAATGAGCTTTGAATTTGGCATTATTTTAATGAATTTGGATATTTATATAAAATTTAACTTATCCCGCAACATTGCGGTGCTTAGGGCATCTCCAACCGAACGCCAAACGAGCGTTTGGCGTCATTCCTTCGCTCCAGCCGAACGCCAAAAAATCCTCCATTTGCTTGCGGGTGAACAGTGCAACGCTAATATTGGCGTTGCACTGTTCACCCACGCCATTTTTCTTTGTCAACCGGAAAAATGCGGGAAAGGAGAAGGGTCGTTACCTTGGCGCAGAAGCAAAAAAATGGCGTTGGATTGGAACAGCACCACGCCATTTTTGCTTTTTGCGGTATTTGACGTGAAAAATAGAGTTCTCGGTTAGAGATGCCCTTAGACCCACAATTTTGCAGTGCTACCCTAAAAATTAAAAAACCAACGCAAAAATCATTTTCTCATTTTTTGAATATAAAATATAGAGAGCATAATGCCGCAATGATCCCAAGTGAAGTTTTCACACATACATATTTCTCACACATACAATCTAAGAACATCCTCTAAAACAGAAAGATGCTTAGAAGCATTTCGATCTAGATATTCAGAAAATGTTCATATATATTCACATAACAGAAGATGCGAAAATAATGAGCTTAATTGATCAAATTCAGATTATTTTAGATTAGCGTTGCAGTGGATATTACATTGCACCACTTAGGTATGAAAAATTTTAAGTTGGTTCACAATTTTACCTCCTGTTCATGAGCATTAGGATTCTACCTTTGCAAGCCCATATTCCGCTTCTTCCTTACTCTTAAACTCTTTCTGATTGTTTTGCTAACAAGGGATCACCGACCATATCGGCGGATCACCGGCCATATCGGCGGCGATATATGCAATTAAGCCGGTAATGGTGTAATAGATATTATTAGATAGATCTCCTCCAAGTCCGGTCAAAGTCGGCAACCATATTGAGGATCTTGACGGCGACTAAACCAGACACGTGCTGGTTAATACGGAAACACTTAATTAAAATATTCTTGTTCTGTCTGATTTAAATGATCCACAACGCTTATAATTAGGTTGATAATTGTAACTCAAATGAAAGGGGGGTAAGCGAGTCAAGTCAATTTATGAGCCGGCTCAGATTTGACTTAATAAACGACTTATGGGTCAAGGTAGATGAGCTAACGAGATATGCTTGAGCAGGTCCTGACTAAACTTTTTAGCTTACAAGTCGACTCATTTAAAAAATATTAATATTCAAGATTTAAATACAAAATTATAAATAATATTTTAAAAAAAGCATTTTTATATATAGAGTGATTCTTCTATTTTTCTTTTACATGTCTATCATTTTTACCATTTTATTATAATTGATATATAATCAAAAATTTATCTTGATCCGGCATGAATCTCATGACGAATTTGAGTTGGAAACTTTCGAAATTAAATCCGGGACCATCTGAACTTGATTTAAAAAAATTATAGTTGAATTGAATGTCTCGAAAAGACGAACCTAAAGACACTAAATTCAACTCAATTTGAGCCCAATTGGCCAAATCCAATAACCGAAGCACATTTGGAAGGTTCAAATTATAAATTGGACAATCAAATGACTTTCAAATATGACATGCTTACAGTCGAATTGAGCGATTCGACGAGACAAATCCAACGAGCCCAAGATCGCTAAATTTTGATATCAATAAGACACTCAAATACTCAATAAATGATCGTTGAAATCGATATCGGTCGTCCATTCAAATTACTCTCAACATGTCTTTAATCTCCTCCATATTTACTAGCCATGTCATTCCTTGAAAACTATAAATAGATCTATCTTTTTTCATTGAGGGAGACCAAGTAAGAAAGAGGATGAAGATGAGAAAGAAAGCTAAAACATATAGTTCTCTTGTCACCAAACTCCTCCTCGACCACTGCCCAGCCATCGATCGTTGCCAGACTCTAGCTGGACTTCCACCAGGTCACGACCAATTGTTGTCGGACTTCCGTCCGACCACTAACTAACACCAGATTTATGTCTAGTCACTAACTGACATTGGATTTATGCCCGGCCATCA